ACCATACCCTACCCCATTACACCATGTCACACCCCACCACACCAGGAATGTCACACCATACCACATCACACCATGTCACACCAGGGATGTCATACTCCATCACACCATGAATGTCACACCATGTCACACCACACCATACTGTGTCACACCAGGAATGTCATACCATGTCATGTCACATCACAGCATGGATGACTAGGGGTGTGCAGGGGCTGCCTGCAGTGCAGACTTGCTGGAGAGTTGAGGGAGGGTCCTGGGGTTGGGCGTGGCGTTCCCATGGGAGGGCTGGCCCTCTGGAAGGTGCTCAGTCCCAGGTGGAAAGGGAGGAGGGGCCTGGGTGCCTCAGGGAGGGGCCCAATTTCTCCAGGGGAGCCTGGTCCAGGTGCCAGGCCCTGCAGGTGGCAGGAGTACAGAGCATCTGCTTCTTCTCAACGCAGCCTGCTCAGTGCATGGAATGGCCCAGTGCCCAGCACTGGCCTGGGTTTCCTTTCCTTAGCCCAACCGGGCCATCCACCCTCAGGCAGTGGACTGGAGCCCACCCACCAGAGCACCCGGAGGGGCCTAGGGCCCCTTGGAGGGCAGAAGGTGGAGACCTGTGTAGCAGGGTTCCTGAAGGCTGCCATGTTCTCTGGACAGAGCTCTCCTGCATCTCTGGGATGCCATCCTTGGGCGTGGGATAGAGCCGGTGATGCAGCAGCTGCCCACTCCGCACCCTGGGTGCTGTCTCCTTTGTACCCCCAGTGGCTGCGGCAGCGAGTCCTGATGGTCAAAGGGCCGGGCTTCAGCACCCAGTTCAGGCCAGGCCCCCAGAGCCCACCCTCCAGCGGCGCGGCTGGGCCTGGAGTCTGGGGATTTCACCCCCAGCTCTGTTTGGTGCAGCTCCGCTCCTGCCACTCGATGCCACGCAGACGAATGTAACCACCTCCTTTCCCAGTGTGATGTTCTCCCTCCTGCTGCTCTCCAGCCCAGCCACTGTGGCCACCGCAGTAAGACCCTCTCCTTGGCTGAGGTCCAGCCAGGCTCCTTGAATCCTGTCTCTCGGCCTCAGCCTTGGCTTGGAAAGACTTGAGTGGATGCTGACAGTTTCCGACGGCTTCAGGCCGCAGTCCTAGGCCGACCCCCAACAACACCTGCCTAGAAATCTCCGCGCACCAGAGCTGGCCGTAGGCTCCATCCCCGACCTCCCTTTCTCAGGACATCTGCTGAAAGGGCTGCAGCCACACGTCCTTCTGTCCATTCCCGATGTCTGTGTGTCTCCTGTGTCCAGGAGGGTCTTCCTCGGGACCTGAGAGCCACTCCCTTGAAGTGTCCTCAGTGGGAAGGAGGGGGCCAGTTCTCCAGGCTCTGGGAGGACAGAATCCTGACCTCAACAGCCGCCGGCACGGACACAGCGGGCCCATCCCAGGGATGCCGACCAGCGCTGGGCAACTTCTTCCTTCCCTGACGACTGAGCCCCGAAGGCCCTCCCTGCTCCCGCCGCCACCTCCCTCACGCCAGACTCTTTCTTCTGTTGCAGTCGTTATTTCTGTTGAAAGTCCGTCCTTGCTACATGAGCTAGTGCCCAGCTTCGTCTCCGATCTGTCTACCGCTGCCTTCCCGCCTGGTCCTGGCTCCTGGCCCCCAACATGTCTCTCATGGGCTGCATTTTACCCCAGAATGAATCACACACACCGGGGTTCACCCGTACGTGACTCACACGCTAGGTTTCAGTGTACCTGATTTAGGTGGTATTTTGATGAGATTTAGGCTTAGAATTGATGGTGAAATGGGCTAATACTTGGGGGATGCTGAGATAGGATGATTGTATTTAAATGTGAGAAGAAAATGAATTTTGGGGCCAGAGCGTGGAGTGTTGGGTTAAACCGTGGTCCCTGCGGATTCATGTATTGGAGTCTTAATCCCGGTCTCACAGTGTGACTATTTGGAGATGGGGTTTTTACAGAGGTAATTAAGTTCAAGTGCGGTCACTAATCCAATCGGATGTGTGTCGTTCTAAGAAGAGAAGCTTGGGACATGGGACCCAGGGGATGGCCATGTGAGGGCCCAGGGAGGAGGCGGGTCTGCAGGCCAAGAAGAGAGGGCTCGGGAGGAAGCCGCCCGCCCACACCGCCGTGCTAGACTCCTGGTCTCTAGGACTGGGAGGATCCACATCTGCTGTGTGAGCCGCCCATGGTGGCCCTGAGCTCACAGATTCACACACACTTCTTGCTTCAGACCATGGTTCGTGCTGGCAGGGCCTCCATGTGCCTCTGTCTGGCCCGCCTGAGCCAGCTACCAGGCCTCCACCCCACTTGCCCTGGAGGCCCTGCCCGCTGCAGAGTGAATGGGGCAGGCAGCACCATGCCCAGCGGGAAGAGAAAATGCATCCATGCAGGAAAGAGGAGAAGCCCCAGGGTCCGTAGAGACAGCCCAGGGAGGGCTGCATGGGCGTGAGTGTGGCTGTGGGAGGTGTGAGGTGTGAGTGTGGCTGTGGGGGGTGTGAGGAGTGAGTGTGGCTGTGGGGGGTGTGAGGTGTGAGTGTGGCTGTGGGGGGTGTGAGGTGTGAGTGTGGCTGTGGGAGGTGTGAGTGTGGCTGTGGGAGGTGTGAGGTGTGAGTGTGGCTGTGGGAGGTGTGAGGAGTGAGTGTGGCTGTGGGGGGTGTGAGGAGTGAGTGTGGCTGTGGGGGGTGTGAGGAGTGAGTGTGGCTGTGTGGGGTGGAGGTGTGAGTGTGGCTGTGGGGGGTGTGAGGTGTGAGTGTGGCTGTGGGAGGTGTGAGGTGTGAGTGTGGCTGTGGGAGGTGTGAGGAGTGAGTGTGGCTGTGGGGGGTGTGAGGAGTGAGTGTGGCTGTGGGGGGTGTGAGGAGTGAGTGTGGCTGTGTGGGGTGGAGGTGTGAGTGTGGCTGTGGGGGGTGTGAGGTGTGAGTGTGGCTGTGGGAGGTGTGAGGAGTGAGTGTGGCTGTGGGGGGTGTGAGGAGTGAGTGTGGCTGTGGGGGGTGTGAGGAGTGAGTGTGGCTGTGGGAGGTGTGAGTGTGGCTGTGGGAGGTGTGAGGAGTGAGTGTGGCTGTGGGGGGTGTGAGGAGTGAGTGTGGCTGTGGGGGGTGTGAGGAGTGAGTGTGGCTGTGTGGGGTGGAGGTGTGAGTGTGGCTGTGGGGGATGTGAGGTGTGAGTGTGGCTGTGTGGGGTGTGAGGTGTGAGTGTGGCTGTGGGGGGTGGAGGTGTGAGTGTGGCTGTGGGAGGTGGAGGTGTCAGTGTGGCTGTGGGAGGTGTGAGGTGTGAGTGTGGTTGTGGGGGGTGTGAGGTGTGAGTGTGGCTGTGGGAGGTGTGAGGTGTGAATGTGGCTGTGTGGGGTGTGAGGTGTGAGTGTGGCTGTGGGGGGTGGAGGTGTGAGTGTGGCTGTGGGGGGTGGAGGTGTGAGTGTGGCTGTGGGGGGTGTGAGGTGTGAGTGTGGCTGTGGGAGGTGTGAGGTGTGAGTGTGGCTGTGGGGGGTGGAGGTGTGAGTGTGGCTGTGGGGGGTGTGAGGTGTGAGTGTGGCTGTGGGGGGTGGAGGTGTCAGTGTGGCTGTGGGAGGTGTGAGGTGTGAGTGTGGCTGTGGGAGGTGGAGGTGTGAGTGTGGCTGTGGGAGGTGAGGAGTGAGTGTGGCTGTGGGAGGTGTGAGGAGTGAGTGTGGCTGTGTGGGGTGGAGGTGTGAGTGTGGCTGTGGGGGGTGGAAGTGTGAGTGTGGCTGTGGGGGGTGGAGGTGTCAGTGTGGTTGTGTGGGGTGGAGGTGTCAGTGTGGCTGTGGGGGGTGTGAGGAGTGCGTGTGGCTGTGGGGGGTGGAGGTGTGAGTGTGGCTGTCGGGGGTGGGGGTCATGAGTGTGGCTGGGGGAGGTGTGAGGAGTGAGTGTGGCTGTGTGGGGTGGAGGTGTGAGTGTGGCTGTGGGAGGTGTGAGGAGTGAGTGTGGCTGTGTGGGGTGGAGGTGTGAGTGTGGCTGTGGGGGGTGGAAGTGTGAGTGTGGCTGTGTGGGGTGGAGGAGTGAGTGTGGCTGTGGGGGGTGGAGGAGTGAGTGTGGCTGTGTGGGGTGGAGGTGTGAGTGTGGCTGTGTCGGGTGGAGGTGTGAGTGTGGCTGTGGGTGGTGGAAGTGTGAGTGTGGCTGTGGGAGGTGTGAGGAGTGCGTGTGGCTGTGGGGGGTGAAGGTGTGAGTGTGGCTGTCGGGGGTGGGGGTCATGAGTGTGGCTGAGGGAGGTGGGGGGTCGTGTGCAGGAGCCCTTGAGTGCAGCTCACCCAGCCTCCTTCTGACCGTGCTTCTCGCCGGGGCAGGAGGCGCTTGGACGGGAAGGCTGCTCCCACCACGAAGTACAAGACTTAAAAAGGATATTTTATTGTCATTAAAAGAAACATTCAAGACAATCAATGGCTTGAGACATTTAAAGAATAAAAGCTACCAAAGCTGAGACCGTGGCACGTCCTTCGAGTGAGGCTGGGAGCCCCCGACGGCCGAGGCAGGTGCGGCCACACTCCTGCACATGTCTGTTCCTGTCTGCGGATTCTGCCTGACATTTACCCAAAGGTGTGATGGGGGCAGCGGGGCATGGTGGCCTCTGTGCAGCCCTCGTGGCCAGCAACCCCAGTCTCCCAAGGCCACGGCGCCCTCTCTGTGGTCTTGCCCATCCGCCCTGGGCCTCCAGAGTGGCTGCTGGGTCCTGCTGCAGCTGCCTTGGGGCTGGACTGAGCCTCAGGAATGATTCCGGCTGTGCCCCTGCTCCTGGCTCTCCTGGGGTCCCTACATGTCTCTCCCCTGTGCTCCTGGGCCTCCTCTGTCCTCAGGCCCCACCAAGGCTGATTTTTGCCCGCCTGGGACCTGGTCACCAGGCCCTCTCAGGAGGCCTGTCTGGCCGATGCCCACTTCTTCCCTGGGTCACCCTGGCCTCACACGGTGTGGGGGCTGCTGCAGTGGCCGCGTGGCCCAGGCTCTTCTCTGAGTGGTCTCGGTGGGGTGGGGTGGGGTGGGGTGGGAGGTGGCAGTGTCCTGGGCCCGGCCCCTCCTCTTCCCAGTGCAGACTCTGAGGCTGCCTGTCCCTGCGGGTCGAGTTCCAGTCCTGAGAATGCAGCAGCGTGAGCAGGCAGCCAAGAGGCGGTGCTGGCACCTGAGACCCTGCTCCGTGGGAGGCGTCTTCCCAGGAGCCAGAGAACAGGGTTCTTTACCCTCATTCCTCACGTCAGGAGTTCACGGGACTGCCCAGAATGGAGCCTGGCTGGCCTCGGGCTGGGAGGAGGGCCACCTGAGCATTCTCTGCTCTCCAAAGCCTCCCCAGCAGGGCCCGAGGGTGCTGTGACTTCCCGGCTTGGTGGCGGAAGCTTCCACTGGCCATGTCTGTGTTGAGGAGACTGGTGTGGACGGGGTTGGCTCCAGGCTGGTTCCTGCCTGGGTGGGTGCCTGGGATGCTGGCCGCTGCCTCCTTTTGTGTGAGCAGCTGGGGGGCTGGAGGGCAGAGGTGTCGTGCTGAGGGGACACCTGGCCCCAGCGCCCTGCATGCACCAAGCAGCAGAGATCTGGGACAGACCTGCTATGCACAAGCTCAAACGGGGGCGCATCGGGTGTGGCAGGTCAGAGAGCGACTGCGAGGCCAGAGAGCCACGGGGTCGAGGGCAGTGAGGTCAGGGGCAGGCATGGCCTGGGCAGTGGCTGAGTGTGGCCCATGGCTCCTGTGTGAGGTCTGGGCAGCCCTGCACTTCCAGCAGAGGGTGGCCCTAGGCCCCCTGCCCGATCATGTTCCTGTAGTCGGGGACGATGGTCTGCTTTAGGTCCACCACTGAGGAGAAGATCCACTTGACCTGCAGGGTGGCACGGACAGTGTGAGCGAGGCCACAGCCCTTCCCCCAGGCCACCCAGGCCACAGCCCTGCCCCGAGACCCACCCACCCCTCAAGCCACCCAGGTGTGGACATGGAGAGGAGGGCCAGGGCAGCAAAAGCATGTGGACAACACAGAAGATGGCATGAGGGACAGCATGATGATGGTGTGTGGGCAGCACTGGGGACAGTGTCAGGGACAGGTGGGGAAAGTGTGGGGGACAGTGTTGGGGCCAGGTGGAGCGAGCACGGGGGACAGTGTCAGGGACAGGTGGGGACAGCACAGGGGACAGTGTCGGGGAAAAGTGGGGACAGCGTGGCGGACAGTGTCAGGAACAGATGGGGACAGTGTGGGGGACAGTGTCAGGAACAGGTGGGGACAGCACTGGGGACAGTGTCAGGGGCAGGTGGGGACAGCATTGGGGACAGTATCAGGGACAGGTGGGACAGCACTGGGGACAGTGTCAGGGACAGGTGGGGCCAGCACTGGGGACAGTGTCAGGGACAGGTGGGGACAGCACTGGGGACAGTGTCAGGGACAGGTGGGGACAGGGTGGGGGACAGTGTCAGGGACAGGTGGGGGCAGTGTTGGGGACAGCTGGGGACAGCATGGGGGACAGTGTTGGGGACAGTTGGTGACAGCGTGGCAAACAGCGTCGGGGACATCTGGGGACAGTGCGGCAGACAGCATCAGGGACATCTGGGGACAGTGCAGCGGACAGCGTCGGGGACAGCGTGGGGGACAGTGTCGGGGACAGCTGGGGACAGCGTTGGGGACAGCGTTGGGGACAGCTGGGGACAGCGTGGGGACAGTGTCAGGGACAGGTGGGGACAGCGTGGGGACAGTGTTGGGGACAGGTGGGGACAGTGTGGGGACAGTGTCAGGAACACCTGGGGACAGTGTTGGCCCACCTTGAAGAAGGTGACGGTGGCACTGTAGCACACACTCAGCAGGAAGAGTGTGATGAAGATGGTGATGGTTGTCCACAGCCCGTCCAGCTCCCCGTCCTGCGCCTCCACACAGCTCTCCTCCACTATCAGCTCTGTAGAGGAAGAGGGTAGTCAGTGCTGTGTCCCACTAGGCTCAGGCCTTGGGGGCGATTCCCTCTGTGGTGGGGCCCGGGGTGTAGGGTGTGGCCGGGATGGGCCATCAGTGCCCTGAGGTCTGCTCCCCACAGATGCCTGCCCCGTGCAGGAGCTTTTGACCCTATGGCTCAGCCAGACACCTGGCCCTAGAGAGTGGCCTGGCCCTCAGCAGGACCCACTCCCCATCCCCCATGCCCCTCTCTGAGGCCCAGAGGGCAGGAAGATGGCAAAGCCTGTGTGGGTCACCCCTATGTGACCCCAGCTGCAGGGAAGGGTGGTATTGGGAAGTGGGCCAGTGCCAGAGAAGCAAGAAGGCGTGGGTACCCCTGTGGGTAGGGGCCCATGTGTGTGGGGTGGTCCCCTTGTGAGGGCAGGGCTGGGTTTGCCTGAGCTGGTCAGCAGGTGGACAAGCTGCTGAGAGGCTCTTGGGCGTTGAGGTGCTGCATGGGGCTCGTGGGGGCCCATGTCTGAGGAGTGTTCCTGTGTGGGGACCTTGCTATGGTCTGGGTGCTGCGCAGGCTGCCTGGTGAGGCTCCATGTGGGGTGTACGTGTGTGTGTGGTGGCTGAGTGGCTGGCTAGCCTCTGTGCAAGGTTGGTGGAATGAGTCTGGGCTGAGTGTGAGTGTGGGCTGTGTGAGTGTGTGTGGGTGAGTGTGAGTGTGAGTCTGGGCTCGGTGTGTGGGTATGTGAGTCTGGGTGTGTGAATCTAGGCTGAGTGTGAGTGTGTGTGTGGGTGTGAGTGGGAGTCTGCACTGAGTGTAAGTGTGTATGTGGATATGTGAGTCTGGGCTGAGTGTGTGTGTGAGTGGGAGTCTGGGCTGAGTGTGTGTATGTGGGTATGTGAGTCTGGGCTGAGTGTGTGTGGGTGTGAGTGGGAGTCTGCACTGAGTGTAAGTGTGTATGTGGGTACGTGAGTCTGGGCTGAGTGTATGTGTGGGTGAGTGAGTCTGGGCTGAGTGTGTGTATGGGTGTATGAGTCTACGCTGGGTATGTGTGTGTGTTAGTCTGGGCTGAGTGTGAGTGTGTGTGTGAGTCTGGGCTGAGTGTGTGTGTGTGTGAGTCTGGGCTGAGTGTGTGTGGGTGTGAGTCTGGGCTGAGTGTGTGTGGGTGTGAGTGGGAGTCTGCACTGAGTGTAAGTGTGTATGTGGGTATGTGAGTCTGGGCTGAGTGTGAGTGGGAGTCTGGGCTGAGTGTGTGTATGTGGGTATGTGAGTGGGCTGAGTGTGTGTGGGTGTGAGGGGGAGTCTGCACTGAGTGTAAGTGTGTATGTGGGTACGTGAGTCTGGGCTGAGTGTATGTGTGGGTGAGTGAGTCTGGGCTGAGTGTGTGGGTGAGTGAGTCTGGGCTGAGTGTGTGTGTGAGTGTGAGTCTGGGCTGAGTGTGTGAGTGTGAGTCTGGGCTGAGTGTGTGTGTGTGAGTCTGGACTGTGTGTGTGTGTGAGTCTGGGCTGAGTGTGTGTGTGTGAGTCTGGGCTGAGTGTGTGTGTGGGTGTGAGTCTGGGCTGTGTGTGTGTGTGAGTCTGGGCTGAGTGTGTGTGTGTGTGTGAGTCTGGGCTGAGTGTGTGTGTGGGTGTGAGTCTGGGCTGTGTGTGTGTGAGTCTGGGCTGAGTGTGTGTGTGTGTGTGAGTGTGAGTCTGGGCTGAGTGTGTGTGTGTGGGCATCTGGAATAGTCCCTCCCTGGGAGTCAGTTGTGTCCCCATGTGGGTGCAAGGCTGGGCAGGGCTGCCTGGGCTTCGTGTGGTGGGGGAGGTAGGTGAGGGAGGGCCTGTCCCTGCGCACATGGACCGGGCATGCCCCCGAGTGGGCACAAAGGGCATGAGGACAGGGAGCTCACAGAACAGGCCTGTCTCCTCAGAGGAGTGTACCTGTCCCCTCAGAGGCGAGGGCTGTGTGCCTGTCCCCAGGGCACTCCTAGGGCCTTTGTCTAGCCCAGGGCAGCTGCTGCCGGAGGGATGGGCACACTGGCCAAGCCCCCCACCCCGCTGTAGGCAGCCCCTGTCTGAGCCCCACCCTAGGTGGCCCAGGCACATCTGCACAGCCTGGGCCAGTGGGACCAATTCTGCCTCCCTTGTCCCACTCAGGCCTCAGACTCAGCCTGACCCACAGAAAGAACCATCACAGTCTCGAAGGGGCCCAGGGCAGCGCTGGGTGCTTTATTTCCATGCCGGGCACCTGGGGGGTATGTACATGGGGTGTGTGGCAGGCACCCTCTCGGGACCCAGAGAGGCTGGGGAGCGGGGCCTGCCGGGTGTTGCACTCATTTACCCGGAGACGCGGAGAGGCTCTTCTGCGTGTAGTGGTTGTGCAGAGCCTCGTGCATCACGGAGCACGAGAAGACGCTCCCCTGCTGCCACCTCTGCTTGTCCACGGTGAGCTTGCTGTAGAGGAAGAAGGAGCCGTCGGAGTCCAGCACGGGCTGCGTGTTCTTGTAGTTGTTCTCCGGCTGCCCGTTGCTCTCCCACTCCACGGCGATGTCGCTGGGGTAGAAGCCTTGGATCAGGCAGGTCAGGCTGACCCGGCTCCTGCTCATCTCCTCCCGCGCTGGGGGCAGGGTGTACACCTGCGGCTCTCGGGGCGTCCCTGTGGGGACAGAGGTGGGCACGGTGGTCAGTCCCAGGGCAGAGGGTGGGCTGGGCCGGCCTCTGTCCACACGGCCCTTGCGCGGCTCCCACCTTTGGCTTTGTGGATGGTTTTCTGGACGGGGGCCGGGAGGGCTTTGTTGGTGACCTTGCATCTGTACTCCTTGCCCTTCAGCCAGTCCTGGTGCAGGACAGGGAGGGCGCTGACCACGCGGAACGTGCTGTTGTGCTGCTCCTCCCTCGGACTCGTCTTGGCAGTGCGCACCTCCACGCCGTCCACGTACCAATTGAACTGGACCTCAGGGTCGTCCTGGCTCACATCCACCACCACGCAAGTGACCTCAGGGGTTCCGGTGATCCTGAGGACGTCCTTGGGTTTTGGGGGGAAGAGGAAGACTGATGGTCCCCCCAGGAATTCAGGTGCTGAGGAAGAGATGGAGGTGGACGTGTCAGCACCCAGCTGAGGCCTGTCCCTGGATGGAGGCCCCTCTAGGCACTAGTCCCACCTCGAGCTGGAGGGCGAGGCCTGGGCTGGCTTACCTGGGCATGGGGGACAGTGTGATGAGCCATCTGCAGAGAGAAGACAGGGAGTTACTGGGGTCTGGGAGGAGAGAAGGTGTCTGTACTGAGGGAGGGGAGAGTTTGTCCTTTGGGGTGGGGTCAGATCAGGGCCAGGCTCCTCCCAGATACGGCTCTTGGCAGGCCTGAGACCAGCATCTGTGCCTCTGTGCGCAGGGCCTGGGGTAGGAGCATCCAGCCTGTGTCTGCCTGGAGCCTGGTGGAAGCAGCCAGAAGACCCTCTCCCTGAGCACGAGTGGGGCAGGCAAGGCCCATGGGTGAGAAGACAGACTGGGCCTCTGTGGCTTCCCGGGGCTGCGGCTGCTCCACTGTGGTGTGTCCAGGCAGGAGGACTGAGCCTGTCTTTCCGCAGACACCCTCCCCTCTGCGCAGTCCACTCACTAGGTTTCAATGGCACTGGCACGTCCTTCTTGAAGCCGGTGGGCGTGTGGACGACGTTGCAGGTGTAGGTCTGGCTGCCCGCGCTGCTGGTGGTCACCATGCTGCTGAGGGAGTAAAGTCCCGAGGACCGCAGGACAGCAGGGAAGGTGTGCACGCCACTGGTCAGGGCGCCTGAGTTCCAGGACACGGTCACTGGCTCGGGGAAGTAGTCCTTGACCAGGCAGCCCAGGGCCGTTGTGGTCCCAGAGGTGCCGCAGGGTGTCAGGGGGAAGACATCTGGATTCTTGGTGGAGGCTGCAAGAGAGGCGGCACCATGTGACCACAGTGTGAGACAGAGCTGGGTACAGGCCCCAGAGGCCCCTCCGTTCCTGTCCCTCCACGAGGGTCCAGTGTCTGGGCTCACGGGCATGCGGTGTGCACCTGGCTGGTGCCATCTGCCTTAGCTTAGCCTCCTCTCTGCCCCGAGGCCAAGGTCAGGCCCAGCCTGCCCGGAAAGCTTGCAGACCAGCGGCCCTGTGGTGCCCCGCTGCAGGCACCCCTGGAGCGTAGGAGGCGGGCCCAGCTGCTGGGACAGTCTCTGTGTCTGCTGGGAGTCAGCACAGCCCATGGCCTCTAGCTTGGCCTCAACTCTAGCCACCGGTGCCCCCTCAGGCACGGCTTGTGCCCATCAGCCCCACTCCAGCCTTTTGTGGGTGCCTGGCTTGACCAGTGGCCACTGTTCTCAGATGGCTTCTGGTGGGCTCCCCACTCAGCTCCAACCCTGCTGCTCCAGCGTGGCCCCCCGTAGTGAGTGGGCCTGACTTGCCCAGGGCCCTGGTCACAGCCTGCCCTCTGCCCTCCAGGGCCCTTGTCTTCTGTGCAGCGGAGGGGCCAGGCACTGCACAGGCCACGCCCCTCAGCCCCAGGCCCTGGAACTGCCTGCTTTGGAAGAGCCCCTGGGAGCCTCCTGCTCAGCCTCTCCCCTCCTTTCCCCTTAGGCCCAGTGTGCACCAGCCCGCGCCAGGGCCCCGAACGCCTGGACCCCCGATGCCTCCTCGGCTTCCCTGCATTACTTCCCAAAGTTCAGTCACCGCACATCACCGCACGCCACTGCCCAGCTCCGCCCTCTGTCCAGAGCTTCCCCTGGCAAGGCCCCTGCTGAGCTCAGTCCAGGCTCTCCCAGCACAGGTAGGAGCCTCACACCTGCCCTTGCCCTCCCCGCCCTACATGGTGCCAGCAACCCCAGGCCCCAGGAAGGCCCCGTTTCTCTCTGCTGCTGGCCCAGTGGCCCTGCAGTCCCACTGCAGGTCGGGTGTGCCCCTGACCTCTGAGGAAGCCAAGTGCCCTGCCCCCAGTCAGGCCATCCTCTCCACTCAGCCCCAGGGCCCTGCCCGCACCCCTTCCCCTCACCCACACCCCAGGCTCTGGAAGGCTCTGCCCAGGCCCTGAGTGGGCCCCTCTGGCTCCCGTCTGCTAGTGCACTGCCCTGTGCCACCTCCACTCAGCTTCAGTGTGTTCATCCACCTGCCCCACATCCCCCCAGGCCCCAGGAGCAGAGCTGGTGACCCTGGCTCCTGGCAGCCCATCTTGTTCCTTCTGGAGTGCCAGCCTCAGGGGCCTTCCTTGCCAGGGTCCACTCGGGCCAGCCCTGGAACCCTCCTGGTCTCAAGCACATGCTGCCCCTGCAGCCAGACCTGCCCCTGCCTGTGAGATCAGCTATGAGCCAGAAACGTCTTCCCTTCTCCCTCCCAGCTCTGCCTTGCCAGCTGCTCAGCGGGCTGGGCTCACACCCCCTCCCTGCACCAGGAGGCTGCACTGTGCTTTTACCAGCTCTCAGCTGTCAGCTGCCAGCAACTGCCCAGCTCCTGCCAAAGCCTAGGAGCTCAGTGCTGGCTCCCACCAGCACTGCTCACCTGTGGCTGCTCTGGCCTGGTCCCCTGAGCTCCGGGAGCTGCCCTTTGCTCCTCCACCTCCCACCAGCCCTGCTCACTTGTGGCTGCTCTCCCTGGTCCTCTGAGCTCCAGGAGCTGCCCCCAGCTCCTCCTGTCTCCTACCTGCTCTGCTCACCTGCAGCTGCTCTGCCCTGAGCTACAGTGCCTGTCCCCTACTCCTGCCTCCCAACTACCCCTGCTCACCTGCAGCTGCTGTAGCCTGAGCTCCAGTGCCTGCCGCAGCTGATCCTGCCTCCCACCAGCCCCTGCTCACCTTCAGATGCTCTGCCCTGCTCCCCTGACCTCCAGGAGCTGCCCCCAGCTGGTCCTGCCTCTCACCGGTCCTTGCTCACCTTCAGGTGCTCCCCCCTGCTCCCCTGAGCTCCAGGAGCTGCCCCCCTGCTTGCCCACTTCACACAGGCTTCTGCTCACCTTCAGCTTCTCTCCCCTTGTCCCCTGAGCTTCAGAGGCTGCACCCTGCTAGTCCTGCCTCCTGCCTGCCCCTGCGCACCTTCAGATGCTCCCCCCTGCTCCCCTGAGCTCCAGAAGCTGCCCCCTGCTCATCCTGCCTCCCACAGGTCGCTGATCACCTGCGGCTGCTCTGCCCAGGGCACCTGAGCTCCAGAAGCTGCCCCCTGCTCATCCTGCCTCCTGCCTGCCCCTACTCACCTTCAGATGCTCCCCCCTGCTCCCCTGAGCTCCAGAAGCTGCCCCCTGCTCATCCTGCCTCCTGCCTGCCCTGCTCACCTTCAGATGCTCCCCCCTGCTCCCCTGAGCTCCAGAAGCTGCCCCCTGCTCATCCTGCCTCCTGCCTGCCCCTACTCACCTTCAGATGCTCCCCCCTGCTCCCCAGAGCTCCAGAAGCTGCCCCCTGCTCATCCTGCCTCCTGCCTGCCCTGCTCACCTTCAGATGCTCCCCCCTGCTCCCCTGAGCTTCAGAAGCTGTCCCCTGCTCATCCTGCCTCCTGCCTGCCCTGCTCACCTTCAGATGCTCCCCCCTGCTCCCCTGAGCTCCAGAAGCTGTCCCCTGCTCATCCTGCCTCCTGCCTGCCCCTGCTCACCTTCAGATGCTCCCCACTGCTCCCCTGAGCTCCAGAAGCTGCCCCCTGCTCATCCTGCCTCCCACCGGTCACTGATCACCTGCGGCTGCTCTGCCCAGGGCACCTGAGCTCCAGAAGCTTCCTCCTGCCTGCCCCTACTCACCTTCAGATGCTCCCTCCTACTCCCCTGAGCTCCAGAAGCTGTCCCCTGCTGGTCCTGCCTCCTGCCTGCCCCTGTTCACCTTCAGATGCTCCCCCCTGCTCCCCTGAGCTCCAGAAGCTGCCCCCTGCTCGTCCTGCCTCCTGCCTGCCCCTGCTCACCTTCAGATGCTCCCCCCTGCTCCCCTGAGCTCCAGAAGCTGCCCCTGCTGATCCTGCCTCCCACCGGTCCCTGATCACCTGCGGCTGCTCTGCCCAGGGCACCTGAGCTCTAGGAGCCGCCCCCTGCTTCCCACCGGTCCCTGCTCACATTCAGATGTTCTCCTGCTCCCCTGAGCTCCAGGAGCTGCCCCCTGCCTCCCACTGGTCCCTGCTCACATTCAGCTGCTCTCCCCGCTCCCCTGAGCTCCAGCAGCTGCCCCTGCCTACCTTCAGATGCTCCCCCCTGCTCCCCTGAGCTCCAGGAGCTGCTCCCCTGCTCATCCTGCCTCCTGCCTGCCCCTTCTCTCCTTCAGATACTCCCCACTGCTCCCCTGAGCTCCAGGAGCTGCCCCCTGCTCATCCTGCCTCCCACCGGTCCCTGATCACCTGCGGCTGCTCTGCCCAGGGCACCTGAGCTCTAGGAGCTGCCCCCTGCTTCCCACCGGTCCCTGCTCACATTCAGCTGCTCTCCCCACTCCCCTGAGCTCCAGCAGCTGCCCCCTGCCTCCCACCTGCCCCTGCCTACCTTCAGATGCTCCCCACTGCTCCCCTGAGCTCCAGGAGCTGCTCCCCTGCTTGCCCACTTCCCACCTGGCCCTGCTCACCTTCAGATGCTCTCCCCTTGCTCCCCTGAGCTCCAGGAGCTGCCCCTGCTCGTCCTGCCTCCCAGCGGTCCCTGCTCACCTTCAGATGCTCTGCTCTGCTCCCCTGAGCTCCAGGAGCTGCCCCCAACTGGTCCTGCCTCCCGCCAGCCTCTGCTTACCTTCAGATGCTCCCCCCTGCTCCCCTGAACTCCAGAAGCTGCCCCCTGCTCATCCTGCCTCCTGCCTGCCCCTGCTCGCCTTCAGATGCTTCCCCCTGCTCCCCTGAGCTCCAGGAGCTGCCCCCAACTGGTCCGGCCTCCCGCCAGCCTCTGCTTACCTTCAGATGCTCCCCACTGCTCCCCTGAACTCCAGAAGCTGCCCCCTGCTCATCCTGCCTCCTGCCTGGCCCTGCTCACCTTCAGATGCTCCCCCCTGCTCCCCTGAACTCCAGAAGCTGCCCCCTGCTCATCCTGCCTCCTGCCTGCCCCTGCTCACCTTCAGATGCTTCCCCCTGCTTCCCTGAGCTCCAGGAGCTGCCCCCTGCCTCCTGCCTCCTTCCTGGCCCTGCTCACCTTCAGATGCTTCCCCCTGCTTCCCTGAGCTCCAGGAGCTGCCCCCTGCCTCCTGCCTGCCCCTGCTCACCTTCAGATGCTCCCCCCTGCTCCCCTGAGCTTGAGGAGTTGCCCCCAGCTGGTCCTGCCTCCCACCGGTCCCTGCTCACCTTCAGATGCTCTCCCCGCTCCCCTGAGCTTCAGGAGCTGCCCCCTGCTCATCCTGCCTCCCACCGGTCGCTGATCACCTGCGGCTGCTCTGCCCGGGGCACCTGAGCTCCAGAAGCTTCCTCCTGCCTGCCCCTACTCACCTTCAGATGCTCCCTCCTACTCCCCTGAGCTCCAGAAGCTGTCCCCTGCTGGTCCTGCCTCCTGCCTGCCCCTGTTCACCTTCAGATGCTCCCCCCTGCTCCCCTGAGCTCCAGAAGCTGCCCCCTGCTCATCCTGCCTCCTGCCTGCCCCTGCTCACCTTCAGATGCTCCCCCCTGCTCCCCTGAGCTCCAGAAGCTGCCCCTGCTGATCCTGCCTCCCACCGGTCCCTGATCACCTGTGGCTGCTCTGCCCAGGGCACCTGAGCTCTAGGAGCCGCCTCCTGCTTCCTACCGGTCCCTGCTCACATTCAGATGTTCTCCTGCTCCCCTGAGCTCCAGCAGCTGCCCCGGCCTACCTTCAGATGCTCCCCCCTGCTCCCCTGAGCTCCAGGAGCTGCTCCCCTGCTCGTCCTGCCTCCTGCCTGCCCCTTCTCTCCTTCAGATACTCCCCACTGCTCCCCTGAGCTCCAGGAGCTGCCCCCTGCTCATCCTGCCTCCCACTGGTCCCTGATCACCTGCAGCTGTTCTGCCCAGGGCA